AGAAGAATAGAAGAAAATTGACTATAATATTTTTTTTGGTGGTTTACAAGAAAAAAAAAAAAGAACGATCAGAGAACAAAAGAAGAGAGAAGAAGATGGTCGAGAATAGATAATAGATGAATCAAATTGAAGATTGATGTTGTTTCGGAAGTCCAATAATTGGTTTACAATAGGGATAAGGGTTGTTTGGTTATAACAATAATAAAATGAAGAAGAAAACGAGTATACAAAATCAATTATTTAAGGGGATTCCATATATGTTGGGTGGGTAGGGGGCTAAGTGTAAGTGAAATTGAATAGAGGAGAGTGCATTGTCCCAAGTATACTACAGGGGATAGAACCGTACATGAAAGTAGGCAAAGGGGATTTTCGAGCAAAACCCCCCAAATTTATCCTTGTTATGTAGGAACCCTATTTTTCTTTTGAATCTGAAATTTCAATTCAATTTTCTTTGATTATTTGAATTCTATTATTCCAGAAATCAATATATGATAACAGAGTCTGAGTCTAATAATTAATACTATTCCAGTTAACTTCATAATCACAATTTTATTTTATTAATGGGTAAATGAATGATATCCCCTATTTTCAAAAATATATGTGAGGAGGTCCTATTGATTTTTTTTTGCCATAATCAAAAACTTAAATTCTAGTTTTAATTTGACAAACTCTCTGGGCAACTTGAGGTAAATGTTTTGCCATTTTAATTTCAATTCAATAGATGCTCTAACCCCCTAACCTTCTCTCTTTTCCACTCACACGTTCACACCCACACCGTCGTTTACATCTCTCCCTCTCCCTATCTCTTCCTCTCTCTAACTCTCTCTCACCAGATCTGGTACCGACGAAGAAGATGAAGAAGAAGTGCTTCAGATGCCTGGTGGTGACGGGTGGCAAAGGCTTGGGTGTGACGGCTTAAACCGTCGGTGACAGTTGATGATGCAAAAAACGTGAAACAGAACGGTTTCAGAAAATGGGGAAGACTAAGATTTTGTCACATCCCAGGAAGACAAACAATTCATTGGGGAAGGAATAGAGGAAGAAGTGTTAGAATTGCAGAAGGGTTTGGGAAAGAATTGGAATTCTGGGGAAGGAAGAAGAAAAGGACTGCGAGGAAGAATAAAAATCGAATTTCGGCTGAAGTTGATTTGGGAGAGATATGGCCGACCTACAAATGATGCCGTTGCGAACATGGGAGCATTAGACCTAGGCGCATCTGATTATACTAAGAAACGTGGCGCGTATCTGACTTAGTAGTCCACCGAAGACCCGCGCATCACAACAGAGGATAAGATTTTTATTTTACACATATCATTTTTCTATTGGTTGTTTATTTAAAATATTCCCTGCAAAGTTTGTTATATTCGTTAAAAGATCGGACATGAAAATTATTCAGAAAATTATCTCAATCTCTCTCTTTTCTGCTTCCCTACTCTTCCTCAATTCCTTCTCAATTTATATTCAATATTTTCGGATTATCAATAATTCATATAAATCATATATTAACCATATACATAATTACTAAAATCACCAGAAATAATAGCAGAATATTACATTTGGCTACTATAGCTAGTTTATGATCCACAATTTGGGCAATACATTCAAGGACAAATGGTAGGCCTATGACAAGGGCACTTAATTAAAAGAGGGACATCCAACTTTTTTGTTTTTCAAATAAATCCAGTTTATTCAAACTTAATTGCAAATAAGGAAAATTACTTTATTTATACCAAAATTACCCCCAATTCATTGAAACTCAATTCAACTCCAATTTCTTGATTTACACCCCAATTTAGCTCAATTTCATCAATTAACCAATTTTAACCCTAATTTCAATTTTGACCTCAATTTTGACCCACCACCACTGGAGACCGCCGGTCGCCGCCGTTGACCGGCGTTGAATTTTTTTTTTTTTTTTTTTAAACCTTTTTTTCCCACAAATATTTTTCCGGCCGGTTAACTGCCGTTGACCGCCGGGTCTCCTGCTTTGACTTTTTTTTTTTTATAATTTTGTTTTTTTTTTTTAAATATTTTAATTAATATTACTGTCTTGACTGCTAAATTACTGTCTCCTGCAGTTATTTAACGGTTGGAGACAGTAATTTAACTGTTAATTGCCTTTTCTATTCTTAAAATAATATTTTTAATTAATATTATTGTATTCGTTGCTAAATTACTGTCTCCAGCAGTTATTTAACTGTCGGAGACAGTAATTTAACTATTAATTGACTTTTTTATTCTTAAAAAAAATATTTTTAATTAATATTACTGTATTCGTTGCGAAATTAGTGTCTCCAACAGTTATTTAACTGTCGGAGATAGTAATTTAACTATTAATTGACATTTTTTTTTTAAATTTCTTACAAAAAAATTATTTTAATTAATATTTACTGCCTTGACTGCTAAATTACTGTCTCCAACAGTTATTTAACTGTCTTAGACAATAATATTAATAATATTACTGTTCGGGAAAAATAATATTCATAATATTACTGTCCCAAACAGTAATATTACTGTCTGAGACATTAATTTAGCAGCCAAGACAGTAATATTAATTAAAATATTTTTTTCTAAGAAAAACAAATTCAAAAAAAAAAAAAAAAAAGTCAACGCCGGAGACCGGCGGTCAACGATGGTTGACCGGTCGGAAAAAAATTTCAGGAAAAAAAAAAGTTTTCAAAAAAAAAAAAAGTCAACGCCAGAATCTGGCCGGAAAAAAAAATTCAGAAAAAATTTATTTTCTGAAAAAAAAATTGGGGGTTAATGTGATATATTTGTTTAAATTCGGGGTCAATGTGTAATATTAAGGAAGTTAGAGCATAATAGATGAAATTGATAAGAATTATATTATGGAGGGTATTTTGGTCAAAAGACATGGCGATGGATTTAATTGAGAGACTGTTTTTTTTTTGGACTAAAATGCATTTAAATCCCATGTGATGGGCCTTTTTGCCATTCGCTCTACATTCAAATGGCTGAAAGAACTAGAGCTAAGAAGCTAGGTTGAATTGCAGAGAAGGGCATAGGAAAGTAAGTTCAAGTAGAGTTTGGACAAGCATATAGAAGTGGAAGCAAACATACAGGAGCAAATATCACATTTGGGGAAGGAACTCAAAGAACATCTAAACAGAAGCATGAAGCTTAGGCAGGTTCAGGTGGCCACTTTAACTGAAAAAGTAGAACATTACAACGGAGATAAACCTCTTATGGGTAATGTTTATACATCCAGCAACACTATTTCTGACAGTGCACACACTACATGAAATAATGCTTTTAGGGACGACTTTTTATGGTCCCTAAAAGCAACAAAAAATGGTCGCTAAAACGTATAGCGAGCAAATTAAGCTTGGTCACTCGTGGTCACAACAGGGTGGCTACTAAAAGTATTAGTGACGAGTTAATTGTTGGGACGCTAAAGTGACTTCTTTTGCGACCATACAATCATGGTCATTAAAGATAAATTTATTTGCGACCAATTAATTAATCGCTAATCTAAAAAATTATGGTCTCTATAATATTGATATGGCTACTATACATATACATTTAGTCACCAATCGTCTTGGTTGCAGTATAATATTTCTGTAGCGACCAAAGCATTGATGGCAACATAATACTAACATGGTTGTTATAATGATATATTTAGTGACCAATCTATTTGATGGATAAATAATATTTATTTAGCAACCGAGAAATTGGTGCCAATATAATATTAGCATGGTCACTGTAATTGTACATTTAGTGACCAATCAATTTGGTTGGTATATAATAATCATTTAATAACCAAGAAACTGGTGGTAGTATAATATTAGCATGGTCGCTGTAATTTTATATTTACTGACCAATCTATTTGGTGGGTAAATGATATTTATTTAAAAACCAAGAACTTGGTGCCAATATAGTATTAGCATGGTCGCTGTAATTTTACATTTAGTGACCAATGTAATTGGTGGATAAATAGTATTTATTTATCTACCACGAAATTGGTGGCAATATATTTTTAGCATGGTCTCAATAATTTTCGTTCAGTGACCTATTCTTTTGGTAGGTATATAACATTTATTTAGCAATCAATAAGTTGGTAGCAATGTACTAATAACACGGTTGCTATAATTATAATTTAGTGGCCACATCCTTTTAGTTACTACATAATATTTATTTAAGAACCATGTAATTAGTTGCAATAATGTAGACATGGTTGCTAATCTATATATATCAAACACCAAAATATGTTTGCAAAACAATTTGAACTGGTTGATAATAATTATATACAATAAAAAAAGAACACTAATTGTAAAAGCGTTAGAATACCAACATCCACTTCTTTCTTCGTGGAGTTTAATAAACACAAAGAAGTAAAATGATCGAAGCTCCAAAAACTACTAAGGCACATGATTTAAGTATAAAAAAAATCAGCTCTACACCAAATTTAGCAAATGTGAGCTCTGGCTATCAAGTGTCTCCTTTATTGGCCACATTGTCTCAGCAAGTGGAATTTCCGTTAATCCTAGCAAGATCGAAGCAATTTCCAGCTGGTCAATTCCAAAGAATGCAAAGGAGATAAGGAGTTTACTCAGTCTGGCCGGTTACTACCGCAAATTCGTACAAGATTTCTCAAAACTCGCCTCGCCACTCACTCGACTCACTCGAAAAGACGTCAAATACCAATGGACCCCAGAATGCGACGCTTGCTTCACCGAACTCAAGAATCGACTCACTTCTGCCCCAATTTTGGCACTACCCGAAAGAACTGGAGAGTTCATAGTCTACAGCGACGCCTCTAAGCTAGGATTAGGAGCTATACTCATGCAGAACAGAAAATTTATAGCCTACGCCTCCCGGCAACTCACGGAGTAAGAACGGAACTACCCAACCCATGATCTCGAATTAGCCGCCATCGTTTTCGCACTCAAAATCTGGCGACACTACCTTTACGGGAAAAGTGCACCATCTACACTGACCATAAGAGTCTCAAGTACTTCTTCACTTAGAAGGAATTACACATGAGGCAAAGGAGATGGCTCGATCTAGTCAAAAACTACAACTGCGAAATACTCTATCACCATGGTAAAGCAAATGTGGTGGCAGATGCTCTCAGCCGAAAATCAATCAACGCCCTCGTTGTTCAGCCAAATTTGACAGAAACAATCAAGGCCGCTCAACAAACCGATCAAATCCTTAAAGTTCGCAAAAACCTCGAATCCAATCCGAACTTCCGAATCTCCGAGGAAGGAGTTGTCCAATTCCAAAATCGTGTCTATATACCTAACGACTCCAAGATTCGCCAACTAATCCTAACTGAAGCCCATCAAACCATGTACACCTGCCACCCAGGAGCAACATAGATATACCAACATCTAAAGAAACTCTACTGGTGGCCCGGAATGAAAAAAAGAAATTACTCAATTCGTCGCCGAATGTCTAGTATGCCTGCAAGTTAAAGCGGAGCACCAATGACCCGAAGGTCTGCTACGTTCCAATTTAATTCCAGAATGTTTGATGAAACTACAAAATTCTTTTTGAATCTGAATATTTAGTCAGATAAGAGTCCTATAATTAAATTTGAGAATTTTTGGAGGTCATTTACTATTATTTCAAAATATTTGTTGTGCATGTTCCAGAAATGAAACTTTTGTGCTTTAATCATTGTGCTTTGAGATTCTTAACATATTAATTGTGGGAATATGGATTTATTTCTTAAAACTCTATAGTTGATCTATGTTAAGGGCAGTAAGAATTTTTAGCAACATTTAATGAATAAAAGTGGGAGAAATCACGTTAATGAAAGGATAAAGAAGTTAGTAGTTTAAGGGCATGGTTTCGTGGTTAAATGATTTTCTTAACTGTGTTTTGGGGCTGCATGGCTTTTGTGTGTGTGTGTGTGTGTGTGTGTGTGTGTGTGTGTGTGTGTGTGTGTGTGTGTGTGTGCGTGTGTGTGTGTGTGTGTGTGTGTGTGTGTATGTCGTGTGTGTGTGTAATGTGATGTGTGATAGTGTGTGTGATTTATGATAAAATATATATCTAAGGTATGATGCTATAAGGATTTTGTGATTTGATATTTATGTGCTATGCTTGATTCACATAAATTTATGTGTGTGTGTGTGTGTGTGTGTGTGTGTGTGTGTGTGTGTGTGTGTGTGTGAGACTGCCGTGTATATGTGAATAATTGCCGTGTGTTCGAATACTCGTTGATTGATATCTGTGATGTCGTAAAGTGGTCGTTCTTCATGTTGGAGTCACATTAGTCTCATGGTCATGCATAAAATGATTTCATTTTAAAGAAAGGAAACGTTAATGGAAGGCTTGGTTTGAATAAGTCGGGAGACGGGGAGCCGGTATTCCAACCATAGTTACTATAGTAAACGTGGTGGTTTGATCCCACCAAAAGAATAGGCTAAAAATAATATGCTTATCATCCAAGTAAAGGAGTTAATTTTTCACGGATCCGAACAACAGAAAATGTTTTCATTCATGCATTTGCACGAAAGGGTAAATTGGTAATTTTTCGTTATTTGAGTCAATTTACGTGTTTGATTTAATTAAGTGTTTTTATGTGTTCGTTTGCCGACGAATGGTAAGGTGTGATGTCTATGTGTATATATGTATATAAATACGTAAAACCTATTTTAAATCCTTGTTATCCATTCGGATTTCTCACTGGGCTTAATAGCTCATATAGATACTTTTCAATTGCAGGTAGTAGTAGTAATCCCTCACCGGAATGGACCGAGTAGTGGATCGAAGTCTTGCCTGGAGCTTTTGACGATCGTACGAGGGGTCTATAAATTATGCTAGTATTATTTTGGTGATGTAAACTAATTAAAGACAATTTTCTTAATTCCGTTTTCTTTTACTCTCGTATTTCCTCGTTAGGGGAAATGAACTCTTATTTCGGTACGGGCTTTATTTTGAAACTTTAATATAATTGGTCTGCTTATTCTAGTAATTATTATTCTTGCCCAAAATATTTACTTACCAAATGTTTTTTTTTCCAAAACTCTTATTTCTTTACGAACCAATAATGAAGTATATAGTTAGATAATGTAGCACTCGAATAAAATCCTCCGTTCGAAAGTTATTTTTAAACGAAACTTTTCGACGACTAATGTACCCTAAGAAAGTTTTTCGAAATTCTTAAGGGTTTCAAATATCTTAAGAAAGAAATTTTTAGTAATTACATTTTAGTCCTACTCTAAAGTTTTAAAATTACAAAGAGGACCTTGTGCTTCCGCTATCAAAATAAGTATTCCGATAAACTGGTTCGATTTATCGCCCGATTAGAAGGGGTGCTACAGGGACCATCAAAGTGTAGCGATGGTTAGGAACTCAGGTACTAATTATATTAATTGATGCTGGAAGCCCAAACAGTTTCATTAGTGATGCACTTGCAGAGCAGCTAAACTGCATGGTAGACACTTATGATCCCTTGATGATTAGGGTTGCTGATGGAGGAAAGATAATCAATAAGGGAATCATTTCTAATTTTGAGTGGTAAATGGAAGGAGAATTTTTTAATTTTCCATTGAGGCTGCTAAAATTAGGTGGGTTTCATATAGTTTTGGGGTGTGATTGGTTGTGGGAGAACAGTCCAATCAAGTTTGACCACGAGAGGAGATTTATCAAGATTCGGAGAGGGGATCAGAGGATAATTATTACAGCCAAGCATGAACAAAGTGGTTGTTATGCTCTAACTGGTGAGGACTTACAGTTAGTGGCAACCGTTCCTCCCATGTCTCTACTCCCTTGTGGAATAGATTTCCCTGTGGTTTTTGAGGAACCTCAGGTGTTGATGTATTCAAAACCCAAACAACTCTACCATTACAAATATTCACTTTGCTAAGGATGAGATTAAAAATATTGTAAAAGAACTGCTCTCTAATGGTACCATTAGACACAGTCATAGCCCATTCTCTTCGCATGTTTTGCTAGTGAAGAAAATGGACTCTACCTGGAGAATGTGTGTTGACTACAGGTATCTCATTACACTGACTATCAATCATGATTATCCTATTATCTTATTCCTGTTATAGAAGTTTGTTATAATCGACAGAAGATCAGATATGAAAGTTATGCAGAAAATTATCTCAATCTCTCTCTTTTCTTCTTTCCTACTCTTCATCAATTCCTTATAATTTCTTTCAGTATTTCCAGATTATCAATAATTCATATAAATCATAAATTACCCATATATATAATTACTAAAATCAGCATAAATAATAGCAGAATAATACAGGTTTCTACTATTGAAGACGAAATCATCGACATCTCTTAAAACTTAGAAAAACTATAGTGGAAACTTGAGGATATAGGGCTCGATCGAGGTAATTGAATTATGTAATTCAATTTGAGAAAAATAGTTCTAGAATTGTGTTTGCAGTGTGAAGTCCGCGTATGTGTTTGTTGGCTATGTGTATGTTGGTGGGTTTCTATGTGTGTTGTTGTGTGTCTTTATGTGAATATAAACTATATATATAGTATATTACGTATATAAATGTGCAGAACATACATCTATCTATATGTATGGTTGGTACATATATGTATATATTGCATAATTATGTTATGTGTGCCTGTGTAATGTTTTATTAGAATTATATATACATATTTGTATTTAATATATTATGTGTGTGAGGAGTATATACCGGTGATGTGATGTGTATGTATACCAGTAGGTGATAGTGTGTGTAGATTCAAATTTGAAGCAAAATTCGTAGTTTGTTTAACTCCTTTTCTTTTTCGCATGTCTTGATGTTTGAACTACTATGCAGTAAGTGTTGAATGTAGATTTTACGCTCAATACGTTTACTTTACGTGGATCTTTTGTTTAGATTTAATTATATTTGTGCTTTAATTGATTGATTTTGTGTTTTATAGGTGAAAAACGAGAATTAAGTGTCCATGAAGGAAAAAAGATCAAAAAGAAGGAAAAAGTTGCAAATAAGGAAATAAATCAAATTGGAAGAAGGAATTTTGCCACAGTTTCGGCAGTGTTCACCATTTCGAGCATATCCCTCTCATACGAACTCCGAATCAGCTGATTTTGGAAGCATTGGAAAGCTAATTTCAAGGGCTACAATTCTTATTTACGCAACATTCCAAAATTCGGAATCCAACATGGCTAAAATCGAAGAACAAATTTTGTTGGGGGAAAGTGGCAGAAATTGATTCCTATTAGGTTTCCACTACTTCCTTATCAAGAAAAGCCTATAAAAGCAACAAGTCTCTACACCATAAGCACGACATTTTACACAACAAAACACGGAGAACGAAGATCAACGAAGACTCAAGCATAGTTTTTCTTATTTATTTTATTCATTTTATTTTGTTTATCATAAGAATTACGATTAGCTAAGTTTTTAATCTAGGATTTTGTTGGAACCCTATGTGGTAATTCGAACCTATTTTTCTAATATTATGCAAGTTTAAATTCCATGATTATTTCTTCTGTTTGATCTTATTTAGCGCATGAACCTAGCTAATTTATGTTACTATGTGTTATTGCTAGAATTGAATCGACAGATCGTTTTAATAATTAGAACAGGGATAGAAGAGCCTTTGAGTAGTTTTCACTAGATGAGTGTGTTAATTGCATGTATTATCGTAGACATACATATAATACCTTAAATAGCCGTTTACGAGACTTGTTATTTAATGCTTTATTCATAATTGGTTTGCATAGACATATAGTGAATCGTTTATGAATAATAGACTCATAATACACGTGACAGCGGTTTATGAGTAATTGAGTGTCTCGGGTTAATAATCGGGAATCGTAACTTGCATGATAGAGGTTTAATTGGGTGACGAGTTACCGCATAGGGGGAAGATAAAATCCTAGATCCGTTTTTATATTGATACTTTCTCGTGATATTTGCTTTCATAATTAGATTAATTATTTAGTTGATTAAATTTGACAACCTTGCGTAGGCTGGATACAAATCATAATTGTTAGAATTTGGTACTTAGGATTAGATAATTTGAGTATTCCCTGTGGAATCGACATCCGACTCTCACGAGTCCACTTTTACTACTTGTTTGCGATACGTGCACTTGTGTGTTAGGTATTTAGCCCAACAGTAAGTTTTTACAGAGTCGACATTGTGTCTGTAGTTCAAAACAAGTCGTTCTCGTGTTGCAGATCTAAGCCGGTAACATCTCATGTTTCATTACCAAGAATCGATGGTTT